TGCAGCTGATTTGCCCAGTGCTATACATTGTCTGATATCGTGACTGCTGCTTATATTGGCATCAATTGTAGAACTAAGTAATGTGAGATCTTTAAAAACTTCAATCTTTTCTCCATTTATCATGATACTGCTTATAGGTCCAATTGTGAAGATATTTTTTTCCCCTTTATATTGAGATTTAATCCATACTTCAGACTGTATTCTTCAGTCTTCATGAGTAAGTGCTTCAAGTCATCCTCACTTTCAGCAAGCAAAGTTGTGTTGTCAGTGTATCACAGGCTGTTAATGATTTGTCCTCCAATCTTGATGCCACATTCTTCTTCATATAATCCAGGTTCTCGGATTATTTGCTCAGCATATAGATCGAATAAGTATGTTGAAAGGATATAACCCTGACACACTCCCTTATTGATTTTAAACCATGCATTTTGGTCCTCTTTCTCTGTTTGAATGACACCCTCCTGCTCTATGTATAGGTTCCTCATGGGTACAATTAAGTGTTCTGGAATTCTCATTCTTCTCAATATTATCCATAATTATGATCCACACAATCAAATACTTTTGCATAGTCAATAAAACACAGGCAAATATCTTTCTGGTATTCTTTGCTTTCAATCAAGATCCATCTGACATCAGGAATTATATGCTTTGTTCCATTTCCTCTTCTGAATTCAGCTTGCTCCTCTGGAAGTTCTCAGTCAATATACTGTTGCAACCACTTTTGAAATATCTTCAGTAAGATTTTACTTGTATGCAATATTAGTGATATAGTTCAATAATTTCCACATTCTGTGGGATCACCTTTCTTTGGAATGGGTACAAATATGGATCTTTTCCAGTCAATTGGCCAGGCAGCTGTCCTCCAAGTCTCTTGGCATAATCAAGTGAGCACACCCAGTGGGGCATCTGTTTGTTGAACCATCTCAATGGGTATTCCATCAATTCCTGGAGCCTTGTTCTTTGCCAATTCTTTCTGTGCATCTTAACTTCTTCCATCAATACCACTGGTTCTTGATCATATGCCACTTCCTGAAAAGGATGGAGATCGACCAGTTCTTTTTGGTACAGTGTCTCTGTGTATTCCTCCCATCTTCTTTTGATGCTTTTTTCGCCCATAGAATCTTTCAATGTTGCTACTTGAGGCTTAAATTTTTTCTACAGTTCTTTCAGCTTGAGAATGATGAGATTATTCTTCCCTTTTGTTTTTCTAATTCCAGGTCTCTTCACCTTTCATTGCAGTAATTGATTTTGTCTGTTAGAGCTGATCTTTGAAATCTTTTGTTCAGCTCTTTTATTTTTGTCATTTCTTCCATTTGCTTTAGCCACATTCCATTAAAGGGCAAGTTTCAGAGTCTCTTCTGAGATACATTTTGGTCTTTTCTCATCTTCTTAATGGCCTCTTGCTTTCTTCATGGATGATGTTCTTGATATCATCCCACAATTCTTCTGGTTTTTGGTCATTGGTGTTCAATGCATTAAATCTATTTTTTAGATGGTCATTAAATTCAGGAGGGATATATATCATGCCATAATTTGGTTTTCATGGACTTGATTTAATTGTTTACAACTTCAAGTAGAACTTGCATATGAGCAGTTGATGGTCTTTTCCAAAATCACCTCCTAGCTTTGTTTTGGCTAAAGATATTGAGCTTTTTCCATTGTCTCTTGTGAGGATGTAGTCAATCTGATTCCTGTGTATTCCATCTGGCAAAATCCATGTATATAGCCACTATTTGTGTTGTTGAAAAAAGGTGTTTGCAATGAATAAGTCATTGGTCTTGCAAAATCCTATCATGTGATTTCCAGTGTTATTTCTGTCACCAATGCCAAATTTTCCAACTACCAGTGATTCTTCTTTGTTGCCAACTTTTGCATACTACTCACCAGTGATAATTAACACATTTTCATTGCTTGTTTGTTTAATTTCAGACTCCAGAAGCTTATAAAAATCTTCTATTTCCTCATCTTTGGCTTTGGTGGTTGGTACATAAATTTGAATAATAGTCATATTAATTGGTCCTCCTTGTAGGAATATGGATATTATCCTGTCACTGACAGCATTGTATATCAGGACAGATCTTGAAACATCCTTTGTGATGATGAATGCCATGCAATTTCTTTTCAAATTGTCATTCCCAGAATAGTAGATCATATGGTTGTCTAATTCAAAATAGGCAAAAGTCCATTTCAGCTCACTAATGTCTAGGATAACAATCTTCATGCATTCCATTTCATTTTTGACAACTTCCAATTTTCCTAGATTCATACTTCATACATTTCATGTTCCAATTATTAATAGATGTTTCCAGCTGTTTCTCCTCAATTTGAGTCATGCCACATCAGCAAATAGAGTTCTCGAAGGCTTTACTTTATCCATATCAGTAAGGTTGGTTCTACTCTGATGATACAGCTCTTTCCCAATAATATTTTGGGAGGCTCTGATCTTAGTTGCTCATCTTCCTGTGCTGTATCAGACAACATTTCCAGTGCATTCATAAAATTGCCCAGTAATGCATCAGACAGTGTGTTTTGCTATTCATAAAGTTTTTCCTGGGCAATTCTTTGAGAAGTGGATGGCCTCTTCCTTCTTCCTATTCTGTCTCAGTCTGTAAGCTGTGTTGAAACCTGTGCACCATGTGCAACCATGCTGGCATTTGAAACACTGGTGGTCCAGCCTCCAGATCACAGCAACACACAAGCCACAACAGTAAGAGAAACTGACAGACAGACTAAGTTTGTCTCCCTTAGTTGTTTTCCGCCCTCCCCTTACCTGGATCCCTACCACTGTTTGCTCTGTTGCTCCTGCTGGCTTTTCTTTCCCCTGTTTTCCTGCTTCTTGGGGGGGGGGGCTTGGGTGCCTCCCCATACCTGCATTCTCACCACTGCTTGTTCTGTGGTCCTCAGAGCTTTTACAGAATACTTGTTCAGGCTAATTTATGGATACCTAGTAGATGTTAAGGGGGCTCTGGTAGCATAGTGGCTAAGACACTTGCCTGCTAACCAGATGGCTGGTGGTTCAAACCCACCAGCCACTCCTCAGAAGGAAGATTGGGCAATCCTACTTCCCTAGTGACACTGCCTTGGAAACCCAAGGAGGTGTCACTATGAGTCGGGTTTGACTCGATGACACATAACAACACCAACAACAGTAGATGTTAAAGGAGCTGTGGTGGAGCAGTGGCAAAGGCATTCAGTGACTAATTAAAGGTCTACCAGCAATTCCACTGTAGAAAGATGAGGCAGTCTACTTCCAAAAATATTTACGGTCTTCTAAACCATATGGGGAAGTTCTACCCTGTCCTGTAGCATCAACATGAGTCAGAATTTACTCGGTGACAGTGGGTGTGGCTGTGTTTTATCTTTAGTAGGAGGTGTTGAGCCTATAAAGAATTTAGAGAGTCATGATGCCAAGGCAACTACTTTTTTAAAAAGATTCACAAGAGAGATAATAAAATACTTTCTTTCCAAAGTATCCAGAAGTCTAGAAATTATAGAATTTTAATTTTAATATTCTTTAACTTTCCTGTTACACTCTGATTATTTCTGATAATCACTGTGTGATGAATTTCTTAACTCTATAATCAAATATCAGTAACATTATTTTCCTGGTAATGCCAAATAGTTGAATTCAAAATATTTTAAAGTAACATGTGCTATATATTGTATGTGTTTTGGCATTGCATGGTAACAATAGCAGGAGCTTAAAAGTATACTTTTGAAAAGAATAAATGAATGAATAAATTATTAATGAGTATTATAACTAATATATTGACAATTTTTCTTAGACTCAGTGAATGTTATATGTTACTTATCATACTCAATCCTCAGAACAACTCTCTGTGGTATGTTTAATTGTCTTTACTCAAATGAAAAAAATTAGAACTGAACCTCAAAATCTTTACCTACTACTAATACATACTTTCTTAGGTATCTAGTGCTGTTATAACAGAAACACCACAAGTGGATGGCTCAAACAAAGAGAAATGTATTTTCTCACTGCTGAGTAGGCTAGAAGTCTGAATTCAGGGTGCCAGTTCTATTGGAAGCCTTTCTCTGTCAGCTCTGGGAAAACATATTGTCTTTTTTAGTTTCTCTTCCTTGTTTCCATGGTAACCTTCATGTGGCATGGCATCTGTCTTCCCCTATCATTATTTTCTTACATGTTTGTTTAATTTCTTCTTTTTTGTATCTTAAAAAAGAGTGATTTAAGAGATACCCTACATTTAGCCTCTTTTACATTACAAAAAAAAAATAAAATCCAAAATGGGTATAAAACTACAGGCAAAGACTATAGCCTTCAGTGTGGATTAAACCTAAGCAAAGAGAAAACAAAAATCCTCACAACTGGACAAATAAGCAACATCATGATAAGGAGAGGGAAGATTAAAGTTGTCAAGGGTTTCATTTTAGTTGGAACCACAATCAAGATCCATGGAAGCAGCAGTCAAGAAATCAAATGACATTTTGCATTGGGCAAATAGGTTATAAAAGACCTCTTTAAAGTGCTAAGGGACAAAGATGTCTTCTTGAAGTCTAAGGTGTACCTGACCCAAGCCATGATATTTTTTTTTTTTTTCATATGCATGTGAGACTTGAACACTAATCAAGGAAGACCACAAAGGAATTGATGCAATTGAATTGTGGTGTTGGTAAAGAATATTGACTGCACCATAGACTGCTAGAAGGCCAGAAGAATGAACAAGTCTGTCTTGTAGGAAGTATAGCTGGATTTTTCCTTAGAAGCCAGAATGGCCAGGCTTTTGTATTTTGGTCATGTTGTCAGAAAGGAGCAATACTTGGAGAAGGGTATCATGCTTGGAAAAGTAGCAGATCAGTGAAAAAAGGGAAGACTCTCAGCAAGAAGAATTGACACAATTTCTGGGATGATGGGTTCAAGCATAGAAATGATTGAGAAGATGGCACAAGGCTGGGCAGTATTTCTTTCTGTTGTACATAGGGTCACTATGATTTGGAACTGACTTGACGGCACCTAACAATAGGAAGAAGGAGGACCTGACACTCCCCTGCCCTCTGCTACCCTCAGAGGAGGAAGATTCCAGCTGCTCAGAGGCCACAGTGGTAGAGTCACTGCCACTATCCTCCAGTGAGCAATCTCCCCCGCCAAAGCACCTTGCCCCTTCCCCCAGCAACCCGGAGCTCACAGAAGAGGAGTAGGCTGAAGACCAAGATGACAGCTCCTCTGTGGCTCTCCTGTCCCCTCACAAAAGGGCCCCCCTTCAGAATTGGAGGCTTCAGCAAACCGACACCCAGGAGGGGCAGCTCTGGCCCCGGCCCCCACTCAATTACTTCCACCTAATTGCCCTGGCATTAAGAAACAGTCCCCGCTGTGGCCTCAACGTGCAACAGATCTACAATTTTGCTCGACAGCATTTCCCCTTTTTCCAGACGGCTCCAGAAGGCTGGAAGAACACTGTCCGCCGTAACCTCTGTTTTCGGGACAGCTTTGAGAAGGTACCAGTCAGCATGCAGGGTGAGGCCAGTACACGGCCTCGGTCTTGCCTCTGGAAGCTGACTGAGGAGGGCCACCGCCGCTTTGAGGAGGAGGCCCACGCCTTTGATGCCACGCGGCTAAAGCGTATCCAACAATGCATGAGCCAGCCAGCCCAGCAGAACAGGGGAATGGTGGCCCTACAATGTGAGAAGCATCGTAACAAGTTATATGCCAAGGGGACTTTCTCTTTCCTGGGAGCAATCCAAAGAGGCTTCAGAGAAGAGGTGGCATGTGAGGACGTTAAGATTTACAACAAACATTTTCTGGGAACAAAATTCAGTCCATAACACTTGTCTTTTGAGTATGAGCAAGGATACAAACTTTATTTTTCTATCTTTGTGAATGTTATATGCTTTCATTTTTTTCCTACTACTTCACACTGCTTATAAATAAATGAATGAATCAGGATTATATGAAGGAGTAAACTTCTAAAGAAACCATATTTTGCATAAATTAATTATTACAACTCATATTTGATTAATGTTATGGATGGAAAAAGTACCGCAGTGATTCTCTATTCTCATCTCCAGTACATGTGAACATGTTATGTTGAAGTTGAAAGGGAATTAAGATTGTGTTTTGGTTACCTAGTGATCAGAATAGATAGGAATAGACCACAAATGGGTTGACTCAAACAGACAGGGATTTATTATCTTACAGTTTTGGAGGCTAGAAGTCCGAGTTCATAGTGCCAGGCCCTAGGGATTGGGTGAAACCCCCTCAACCTTGGGCTTCAGCTCTGCCTCCTGCTCCCAGCCCACTGAAGCTGGAGGCTTTTTTCACTCAGACAGCTGCTTGCTGCTGAGGCTGACAAACCCAAGGTCGACAAGTAAAAAGGCATAGTCCCAATATTACTAAACCATACGGCCATCTAGTAATTCAAGTCCAGGAAAATGTCCCGAGATCAGCAGGCTGCTAAAAAACATGGCTACATGCAGCATTTAAGCATGCCCCAAAGATGGAGACCTTCCTCAAAGTTGCTTCTTATATATTGAAAGCAGCCCATATCCTTAAAGCAGCTACTCTAATCCTCCAGTAGATTTCGCAAATGAGTTAATTACCAATCTCACCATGGGGAATAACTACATCCAGCTGCCCATCCACTCTAAACCAGCCATCTAGTTGACAAATAACCTTAACTACCACAGATAGCAAAAGTAATTAAGGTTACTAAACAGTTAATTTTAAAATAGAATATTCTGGACTGTCAAAGAAGGTGCAATATAATTAGAAGATGTCTTAAAAATGGAAGAGGGATGCATAAATCCTCAGAGTGATAAAATATGTGAATTTCTAAATCTGCTGTTGCTGACACTGAAGGTAAAGAAAGGTTCATAAGTCAAGCACTATAGGTGACAGGTGATCTCTAGGAAATGGAAAGGGAAAAAAGAAAAATTTCCCCTAGAGCCCATAAGATAGAATATAGCTCTGCCAACATCTTAATTTTAGCACAATGAAACCCATGTCAGACTTCTAAATTACAGGACTGTAAATTAATTAATTTGATTTGTTTTAAGCCACTAAATTTGTGTAATGTGTTATAGCTGCAATATAAAAGTGATTGTTTACTGTTCATGGGTATTAGTTATTTTCTTTTTATTAAATGCATAATTATTTCTAAAATAAGCAAAAACTTGTTATCCTTTTTGTCTAGGTTGTTGTCTTAAGGGAAGCCAGAATGATTTGAAGAATGTAACTAAGAAGAACAACACGGATCTGACTCTTTTTAGGTGGCTGACAATTCCAGGCACATTTGGACTTATTGGTCAATTGAATTATAAAGCAAAAAAAAGAAAAATTAATTTGTATTATGGAATTTTCTCCTGAAATTTTGCGCCTGCCATAGTATAAAAATTAAAATATGACTTTCATACAAATGTCAAATATGCATATGTTGAATGCTTCATTCAAATAATTAATAAAATATTTGAAAGCATATTGAGAGGCTAGGCAACATGAATATTCATAGAGAAATGTTAGAGATTGCTAGGTTACACACACAATTGCTAATAGGGCAATGAAACTGAAACCTCAAGAGTTAATCCTTTAGACTGAAAAGAAACTATTTACGTCTCCCTTTGCTAGGTTTTCAAGTTGACATGTAACATCACTGATTCTGTGACTTTAATTAATAGTAAATATCTAAGACAAACACAGATAAACAATACAAACACAACCACTGCTGTGGAGTTGGATCCATAGTGACCTGTCCTTGGGTTTCTGAGGCAGTATCATTATGGAAGTAGGTGACCCAACCTTCCTTCCGAGGAGTGGTTTGTGGGTTTGAACCTCCAGCCTTCTGGTTAGCAGTCAAATGGCTGGGGACTATGCCACCAGAGCTCCTAAGCACAGATATATTCCATAAATAATAAACTAATCATTGAGTTGTAGTTGTTGTTGTTGTTGTTAGGTGCTGTCAAGTTGTTTCCAACTCATAGCAACCCCATGCACAGCAGAACAAAACACTCCCGATCCCACGCCAGCTACATGATCCCTGCTATACTTGAGCCCATCATCACAGCCACTGTGTCAATCCATCTCGTTGAAGGCCTCCCCCTCTTTCATCGACCCTCCACCCTACCAAGCATGACATCCTTCTCCAAGGAATGGTCCCTTCTTACAACATGACCAAAATAGGTGAGACGAAGTCTGG